AGGAAAGCGGCGCCGAAGTGGGGGAGGGTGGGGGTAGCAAAGGAAGGAGCGGGTCCTTGCCACCGATGCCCTTGTTGCCAAGGTCGGTCTCAATCTTGATCGCGAGCGCCTCCGGTAGGGGGGCGACGAGGGCTGCGGGGATCAGGGAAAGGGCACGGAAAGGGGGGGAAGAGTGAGACGCGGAGGAGCAGGATTAAGCGAGCAGGAGTGGAGACACGAGGAGTTGGCGGAGGGGGGGGGAAGAGGAGGAGGAAGAGGAGGAGGAAGAGGAGGAGGAGGAGGAGGACGATGAAGACGTCTACGAAATGATCACTCTTTCTTCGACGACGCTGCCCTCCTCCCCCTCCTCCTCCCCCTCCTCCTCGCCCTCGTACCCCGGCCCGCTCCTCGCCCACCAACCTCGTGCCCATCCTCCCTACGACTCCGGCTGGCCACCCGAATCGCCCGGTCCCCCCCCTCTCCCCTCTCGTTGAACTCCTCCTCCTCCTCCTCATCCACCTCCTCCTCCTCCTCCACCTCCCCCCCCACTCCCCAATCCTCCTCCTCCTCATCGTCATTGCCATCTTTGTCATCATCACACTCATCACCATCAATCACCATCGCTATCACAGCTCTTCCTACTCCTGTCCATTCCGTTCCCATCCCCATCCTTCCTGTGCCTTATGTCTCACGATTCACCCCCTCCTCCGCATCTTTGTCTTCCCTCAGGGATGCGAGCCTTCATGTCACCCTCTGCGGTGGGGACGAAGCCAGCGAGCTGCTGCACCGCCCAGTTGACGCCCAGAGCCAGCTTCCCTCCGCGGCGGGCTGTGTTCAACGCGACGCGCCCTGCCATCTTCTTGGCGCTCGGAATGCTCTCGTCGAGCTTCTTCACCTCGTTCAGCAGCGAGCCCGCCGTGAAGAGCATCTTGGAGCTGGTGAGCGTGCCGCATGCCTCCGCCAGCCCAGACCGCGCGGGCACGGGCTCGAAGCCTGAGGAGCTAAATAACGACGCCCTCTCCTCCCCCCCACTCCCCCTTCAAAAGGGAATGGGGAGAAGGAAGCCCCGCCCCTCCTCCCAGCCATCCCCCATCCATCCCGCTCACCCTCGCCCCCCTCATGCAGCATATGCCCCTCTTCCCTCCATTCCTCCTCCTCCTCCTCTGCCTTCTGAACCCCATCCTGATTCCCACCCCCCTCCCCCTCCCCCTGCTCCTCCTCATCCTCCCCCATCCTCCTCACTTCCTCGTCCTCCTCGTCAATTCCCCCGACGTCGTCCTCCTCATCCTCCTCCTCCTCCTCCTCTCCCCTTCCCCTTGCTCTCCCCTAACCTCCCCCCTCCGTTCCTCCTCCCTCCTCCTTCCTCCTCCTTCCTCCTCCTCCCTCCTCCCCCCTCCCTTCCCCTCCCCTCGCCCCAGCCCGGGAGGTCTCTGGGGCAGGCGGAGGGATGCGTAGCATCAATGATGATCGAGACTCTTCTGGAGCGTCGCATCGACAACGAGCTTGACGTTAGTCACGAGCGCCGTGGGAGGCGTGGTTTTGACGATCTCATCGGCGGCGTGCTGCAACTGCTGGCTGAAAGCGTTCAGGGCAGTGGTCATGAGCTCGCTGGACAGAGCGATCGCGGTGGACGCAAGGCCTGAGACGTCGATCCAGTTCGCAGCGACGGGCCCCAGCTGCGGAGCAGCTACGCTGTACCAGCTGCTGTAGTTCTCGTGCTTTATCTTCATGTTCACAATCGCGGCGACTGAGGATCCAGATAGACGCAGAGCCGAGATAGGGCCATCGAACTCGGGGTCGAAGACGTCCAAGAGCGCCAACGTCACCCGATGCTGATGCGAGAGGAACTGAACGCGCAAGGTCTCGACCTCCCCGGCCTGCAACTCCACGACGGATGCGACGGCGCCCGCGATGTCCGCGGCCACGGCCCTGTAGGGCACCAGCTTCTGAAAGAGTTCCTTGCTGCCGTCTCTCATGCAGGGCGCGATGGAATCGAATATGGCGCGGCACAGGTCCAACTTGTCCTTCAGAATGCCCACGGGTTTGTCGAACTCCGCCATCAGACATTTGCCAACGTTCGGTAGGATCCTTTCGGTGACTATGGAGCGGATATGTTCGATGTTCTTGCTGATGTCCGCGTTCTTCTCGTCTTCGAAGAGCGGCTTCGTCGCAGCGATCCAGGACTCGAAGCCTGAGCAGAGAGATGAGAAGTGCTGCATCGTTTTGACCTGGTAAGTTCCCAATTCATTTGCCACTGCATGTGTAAAGGTGCCGTCGGCCCAACGCTGCATCCACTCCTCCACGCAATTGAACGTTTCGATGTAGCTCCTGTCCTTGACGTGCTGATACGCAGTGACAGGCGTGTCCTTGACATGGCCGCGTAGCTGCTCGCCAGCGTCCTAGATGGCGCCGAAAGGTCGACTATTTGGCAGGCAGCGCCGTGTTCTGGCAACCTAAACACCCCCAACCAAACATGAGAAGTGCACCATAAACCCATGCAGAAACCCGAAGTTCGAAAGAGGTCCAAGTCAGCGGATGTTCCTGGGGCCGCGGAAGCACACCGCACTTCATAAAAGGAATGCGGGGGATGGGGCCAGGGAAAAGGTGGAGACGGAATGTCTGCCGGGGGATGAGATCAAAAGACAAGTGAACTCGGGGTGAACCAGAATATTGTATGAAAGTCCGAGAAGATGTTCAGGCTCTCCATGCGGGTCGGCTGGTCTGGCAGCGCTGCCCCTTCAGCAGCGGTCAGCAGCGTACTGGAGAAGACGCGGCACCCCTGGATCGTCACGTCGATCGCCAAACCATTGCGCACCGAGCACAGCCTGTTGTAGTTCTCCGTGTCCTGACGCTGCAGGGACTCGATATACGGGCCCGCCACGCCGCACTTGCTGCTCAAAACCTTCATGCGGCTCACGCGAGCGGTGAAGTCCTCGGACAGGGACAGGGCTGACTCCAGGTCTTCGATGTGTTTGAGCAGGTCGTCGGCAATACCGACCTGCTCTTTGAACGCGTCAAGCCGACATTCGGCCATCCGCAGGATCGGCGTGCCAAGAACCTTGAAGCGCACATACAAGTTGACAGTGGCATCTGGATTAACGCGGCCCTCATATGCCCTGGTAAGTTTATCCATCCCTTCCTTGCCGGCCGAGAGAGCCGGCAGCTGGGCTATGCAACCGAAATCCGCGATATCGTCCACCCCCTACATGCTGTTGGGAGCCACTGTGCCCTCACCCCATCTGGGCCCCCTTCACCATCCAGCCACGACCCCCACGTCCTTGGACAGTGCCCGAGGGCGGGAGAGTGCATGAGGCAACTCCCGTTCCCCCATCCAGCCACCGACCCCGTGCCCTCGGAGAGGGCTCGGGGGGCAGGAGTCGCATTTCATCCTCATCGTAATCCCCCTTCGTCTGCATCCCCCATGTTACCCCCTGGGAGGGGAGGTGACGGCGGGCGAAAGTGAGCGGGGGGAAAGAAGGAGAGGGAATTATCCCAGTGCGACCCTACCTAGGAGTTGGAGCCCCAAGGAAATCAGCATAAGCTACGCTAAGCTAAGCTAAGCTAAGGTAAGGTAAGCTAAGAGCTAAGCGAAGCTAAGCTACCCTATGCTAAGCTAAGCTAAGCTAGGCTAGGCTGAGCTAAGCTAAGCTAAGCGAAGCTAAGCTAAGCTAGGCTAGGCTAGGCCAAGCTCAGCTAAGCTAAGCTAAGATGAGTTGAGCTAAGTTAAGCTCAGCTAAGGTAAGCTAGGCTAACATATGCTAAGCTAAGCTGAGCTAAGCTAAGCTACGCTAGGCTAGGCTGAGCTAAGCTAAGCTAATCTAACCTAAGCGAAGCTAAGCTAAGCTAAGCTAGGCTAGGCTACGCTAAGCCCAGCTAAACAAAGCTAGCTATGCTATGATATGCTATAATTTGCTGCGCTATGCTATGCTATGCTAGGGTATGCTAGGCTGCGCTGTGTTATGGTAAGCTATGTTATGCTATGATACGCTATGCTATGCTATGCTGCGCTGTGCTATGGTAAGCTATGCTATGATGTGATATGATATGCTGCGCGATGCTATGCTGTGCTATGCTGCGCTATGCTATGCTATTCTAGGCTATGATATGATATGCTATGCTGCGATATGCTATGCTATGCTGGGCTATGATATGTTATGATATGATATGATATGCTATGCTATGCTGCGCTATGCCATGCTATGCTATGCTACGCTATGCTATGCTATGATGCGCTATGTTATGCTATGCTAATGCTGCTACGATGCGCTGAGCTAAGCTGAGCTAAGCCAAGCTAAGATGAGATAAGCTAAGCTGAGCAAAGGGGGCGCAACTGGGAGAACCGCGGGGCGGATACTGGGGGAACCGCCCGAAGCGATTTACACTGCCCGGCCTCTTTGGGGCCAACCGAGTAAGAACCCTCTAGGCAGAGCCTAGGTAGGGAAAGACGAAGAGAAGAGGAGAGGAGTGGGGAGGAGGCAAGAGGTGAAGGAGAGCGAAAAAACATTAGCAGGGAGAGGAGATAGGAGGCAGAAGAAGCGACGAGGTTGCCAGTGGCCAATCGCCTGCGCGTCGAAGTCGCCGCGGTCGATGACCGCGATCATCCTGTCCACGCCGCGGCCGATGATGTCCTTTGCTTTGTCCACGGTCACACTGCCGTTCAGGATGGAGGTAGCCCAGGCGCCGAAGTAGCGGCGCTGAGGGTCGGCGACGTTGGTCTCCTGGCCCCAGATCCTGCGCAGATGGTTGGCCCCGAGGAATGACATGAAGGGGATATCGCCCTGGGGCGGGATCGCCGTCGTCGCCTGCAGAGGGGGGGATGCTGGCGGATCTAAAGCGGCGAAGCAGATATGGTATATTGTATTTGTATTTCCTGGCTGACAAGCTGTCTGCCTGACTCTGGCGCCTTCTACGGCCCCCTGGTCGCCGCGACATTGATGCGGAGGTCCCACAGGCACTGGGAAGTGACCTCGATCGTGGGCTGGGCTGCCGCGAAGTGGGCCATCTGAGCCCACTTCCCCTCGAAGAGGTTGACCGCTTGGAAATGGTTCGCGGGCCTGCTCTTCCATGCCTTAGCTCCGCGAGCCGCCGATGGGCATGGGCAGCGCCAGCGTGCAATCGCGGCGCTGGTTTCATTCGTGTTCGCTCGACTCGTACTCGTAGCCGACTCGCTCCCAGGGGGTGGCCTGATTCCCCGACACCACGCTGCAATGGCTTCAAATGGCAGGTCGGCGGAAATTGCCGAAGGCAGTTGGCTACCTTCAACCCCGCATCGATCACGTTGAGCCTTTTGCCAAGGACCTCGACGGCGTCCCTGGCAGTCTGCGTCTTCACCTGGGTGGCCTTGGTACGGGCAGAGTTCGCCCAGCGAGTCACCTGCCGAATCTTTACCTCCTGCTGGCTGCCCCACATGTTGATGGGGGTGCCCGGGCCATTGAACTCGTTCCAGAGCTCCGTCGTCTTGTCTTGAAGCGAGATCGCCCTCCTGCCGCGACCAGCCTTCGCGCCTTCATCGCCACCGCCCTCTTCGTCGCCGTCGCCTGGGCCATCGCCGCCCGGGCCCTCTGGCCCGCCACCCTCGGCCGAAGGGCCTCCCGAGCCAGAGGCCGTCGTCGCTGAGGCTGCAGCCGCTGCGCCCGCGGCAGATGGCTTGCCCTTCGCAGTCGCGGCGCGACCCGGCGTCTTCCTGACGGGCGACCAGCTCAAGTTGGAGTCGTCTTCGGAGTCGACGTCCATGCAGAAGACGCCGATGGGGCGAGTCAGTTTCCTCTTCTTCTCACTCTCTGTCTTCTTGCGCCTTTTGCGCGTAGCCTTGGCCTTTTTCGCCCTCTCGGCCTCCTTCGCCTGGCCCTCGAAGATCCAGGGTGCACTGCTCCAGGAGCGAGCGCGATGCCGCACCGAGCGCCTCCCTGTAGGCCTCGTTGTTCTGTCTCTGTATCTCTGCAAACCTGGCCATGGCAATTTCCTCGTCGCCACTCCCAGAGCCGACGTCTTCCTCCCTGTCGAGGCTGGTCTTCGAGCCCATCAGCCGCTGCACCTGGGGAGCACCGCCCAGGACGACCCATGCCGCATGCCCGATGGTCCGGGACTGACAAGACACAAAACATGCATTCATAGATGGCAAGGGGCGGGTGTTTGTTCACATTAGTTTTGCGTTAAAGTCCTGTCCCAGACCATGACAAGGTGAACATATCGCCCCCAAGCCCGCAAATGCCTTCCAAGGCTGGTCGGGGTCGTCCGGGGGGAACATGACTCCCTGAACTCCTCTGATAGTGACCTTCTTGTGTCCTAGCTTTTTCAAGGCAGGGCGGCTCGGCGACCCAAATCTCTTCCTGTACTGCTTGATCGGTAGGAAATCATCATCGGGTGGCTTGAGGATCATGTCGTCGTACTCGCTGGACTTCACCGCTACACTCTTGATGCCTCCTGCAAAGGGGCCGCGGCGAAGGCCAGCCGGGAGGGGGATGGACAATGGGCGCCCAGGGGGGCGAGGGAGGAGGAGGAGGAAAGGAGGAGGAGGACGGGGCGAAAACAAATGAGGGCGACCAGGAGGAGGAGGAGGAGGAGGAAGAGGAAGAGGAAGATGAAGATGAACATGAGATGAGGTGGAGGGAGTAGGGGGGGATGATGGGGGAGGAGGAGGATAGGGGAAGGGGGCGACCGCAACGCGGATGAGAACGACCAGGGGGAAGAAAAAAAGGAGGGGAAGGAGGGAGGGTGAAGAGGAAGAAGAGAGGCAAAGTCAACGGGATAAGAAATTCTTGACGCTTCGCGTATCCCCACCAGCCCATCCAACAACGATGCCCAGGCAAGTTGAGGTGTTGTGGTGAGAGGTTCTCGGAGGTATCTTGGAGCCATCTTGGGGCTCTCTTGGGGTCCTCTTGGGGCCCTCTTGGAGCTCTTCTGGGGCCATCCTGAGATCTTGAGGCCCTCTTGGGGCTCTTTGGGGGGGTCTGAGAGGTCTCTTGGGGCCGTCTTGGGCCCCATGGCTCAAAAGAGGGGGGTAACGGATCCAGGCCCCCCCCCCTCGGAGGGTCAAAAAGGCCAGCTAGCACCTGGAGGACAAGGATGCATGCTAGAAGCACGTTTCCTACGTAAAATGCAAGGAAAAGCTGGCCCGGGGGAATTTGGGAGTTAGATCCCTTCTAACTCCCAAATCCCTCCGGGGCGGCTTTCCCTTGCATTTTACGAGAGGAAAATGTGTTTGCAAGCCCTCGGAAGCTTTGGGAACCATTTTGGCCTCCTAGGGGGGGGCCTTGGAGGGCTCGGCGGGCACTTGAAACCGTCTTGGGGCCGTCTTGGGGCCTCTTGGAGGTATGTCGGAGACTATCTTGAGCCATCTTGAGCTATCGTGAGCCATCTTGGAACTCTTGGAACTGTTTTGGGCGCTCTAACTGGTCGGTGCCCCCCTCCTCCCGGGCCCAGGGGAGGCGGTGGGGGGGGGGTAAACCAGGAAACCCTTCCCCCGATGATGATGATGATGATGAAGCGCCTTGAAAGGTCGGTTCTCCCAAAACACAAACCTGAGAAGCCACCAATACGCCAAATGCGCACGGTAGAGAAAGAGGGAGGCGAGAGGAGAGGCGGAAGAAAGATGAAGCAGAAGAAAGGTGAAGCCCAGCCCAGGATTGAAACCCATGATACTGAAAGAAAACATGAATGATAGATTGTCCGATGTCCCAAATGAATCCCACCACAAGGTCTCTCTTGCTTTGAATGAAGAAGAGAAAAATGAGAAACGTAATGCAAGATAAAGGAGTATGCTCAAATTGATCAACAATCTTGAGTGGCTTGAGTAGCTCTTGAAGCCAATCTTGGGGGCATATGGTCCCAAGGTCTGAAGTAAGCAAGAAGTAAAGAAATCTTTCATTGAGTCCCATGAAACCCATTGAACATAAGTAGCAACCAAGACGGATATATGTACTGAACGAAAGTCTAAAATAGAAACTGAATGTCCCAAGCACGCAATGAACCCAGAAGATACGGAGGCATACAAGATGGAATGTCAAAGCCGAGTGAGAACTCAACCGTGACAACCCACCCCAGGCATATCAAGACCAATGGAGTAAGGTTGAATTCAAACAAGTATGGAGGGCGCAAGATGGATCTGTTTATAACCTTTTGTATTTTGCCAACCAACAACGTTGAAGAACATGCATAGGAGATTGAGGGATACTGAGAGTCCTCCAAAAGCCGCAGGCCCATGCACCGCAGACGCCAGGGGATTCAGTCTGTCGGAGTCCCAGGAATTGCATTCACGGGTACTTCCAGCGCCACTTTTCCACAAAGAAGTCTCCGTCCCACCAGTAGTCAGATAGGTACCATACCACTGGGTGAGGCCAGCCCGATTCGGGGTCGAACCACGTGTCATAGTACTCCGTATACCAGACTTTGGTGTAGACTTTTTCCTCTTCACAGTAGTTCCACATTCCTCCTGAGCCGTGTGTCCACTTGAGACGCTTCTTGGCGGCTAGCTTGACTGGAAGGCTGCGTTTGGCCATCCCCTGGAATTGGATATGGATGTGGATGTTTCCCAGCCGTCTCGGACGAGAGTTCCCGTCAGCATTTGAAGCGAAACGGCTACTGACCAGCAGCCAGTTCTTTCCAAGGAACTCTCCGAACCCTTTCGTCGGGACCCCGAACGTTGACATACAGTCCCTTAAAGCCGCTGTCCCGACAAGCTTTGAAAAGCGGGATTTTGCACCAGTCATAAGTGAAATGAGGACCACCAAGGTCCGATGGTACAAGAAACCGAGCTGGCAACTTGACCACCCTTTGGAATAGCAGCGTAGAGCAGTATGAGAGTGCCTCAAGATCTTGTTTAGACAGGAAGCAGACTTTGCGTTTAGACCTGCAAAGCTTCCCCTGAAAGATAACGTGAGGGTCCGATGCCTTGGGAAGTAGCATACTGAAAGCTCGAGCCCGAGGCTGCAGGAGCCGACAGGAGGCAAGGGAAGGGGAGGGGGCCACCCCCCCAAACCCCAAGAGAGGAGAACAGACTCGAGTCCCAGAACACGGAGGCATCCTGAGGAAGGATGGATTGTTGCGAAGCCACGGTGTCCCTAAGATCGCATGGACCAGGCGGGTCCCAGATAGAATCGCACAAGTGACATCTCCTGGCGTCAGCCATTCCCCTAGGTGGGAGGCAAAGAGAGGAGAGGAGGACACAAATAGGTCTCGATACAGACCCAAATGCAAATTCCGTGGGGCGTCAAATACCCCGCTCCATTAGTATTGGAGCCTGTTCTCTGAGGCCGCAATTAGGTAAGATACCCAGACCTCTGAAGATTCCGTGACATTAAATTTGTGCACTTGCATTCCGTGAAACATTGCCACGGCAAACTTCCGAGTGTGAGGTGCACATGGGCCGCGAAAAAGGCGACGGTCTTTCCCGGTCCTAGCAAAAGACCCATGTTGATCAGCAAACGTCAAAATAGACCGAATGGAGCAGATGATAGGAGAAATCCCCTGAATAATGTTCCAGAACTGATCTGGTTCAACATACCCCGCTCCCAGCCCTAACTCCATCAAATCTCCAATAAGCTCTAGCCATCGAGAAGTGTCGGGTTCCCTGTTCCACCGCTCTCGGACCATCCTCTGTACATCGGTGACACGACCAGCAACTGAGCGAAGCTCCTCCATGGACTTGGACGAGGCACTGGTAGGTTGTCGTCTTTGAAGATACCTGGCCATTTGACCCCAAATATTCCACCAGACAGTGTAGATGAAATTCCCAGGGTCTGACCAGCGGTTGTCGTAGAACACTGCGCCCTTGTATGACATTGTCTTAATCTGTACAAAAGACATAGAGCGTACTGCAATTCCCACGATCCCAATAAGGTCCTTGCATGCCTTGCTTGAGAAAAATTCCTCAAAGAGATTCCATAGCTGCCTGAAGGGTATCTCGAATTCGCGCCCCTTCTCATACATGTGGAGTGTGACGCATTTCCGTGGGTTGTATGATCCTGAATTTACAGGAACGATCTCGGAACTTTCGATTGCCAGTGCACGTGGGCAGACGGATGCCCACGCCTCGAAGATACAGCACTGGAGAGACTTTGAATTCCATGGCCTGACGACCCTCTGAGGGGCAAGCATGAGAGTGTGTTCCCAGATAGCTTGAGAAGGGGTTGGAGCAGAACGGGCAAAGCGAATTGAACCAAAATGACTACAGGAAGCAACCAGGGCACCAGGACAACCGAAAGATGTGGATTCAAAAGATGGAGAGATAGAGAAAAGAGATGCACTTTATCAGGGGTCGGACGGCAGTCATCGTCCTGGCCAGCGAAGTGGAATTAACAATCCCAGGCCAAACCCATTTGTACTGAAGTGAAGCAGCAAACTGATCGCCCAACTACCCCAAGAAGAAACTTGAAACTTGAAACTTGGAACTTGAAACTTCGGGGCCCTGGGCAAAAGAGTGAGAAGAAACCCCACTTAACCCCGTCAGCCGAATTGAGAAGAATATGATGCAGTCCCAGCTCATGATAAATGGCCTGGAGGCCTAATACCCTGAGACACTTGTAATCCCAGGCATTCCCAGATTGAATCGAAAGTCATAATCCTGACAATGTGATGAAATTAGCAATCCCACCCAAGCCCGTTTGAACTGAAGTGACGGACCAAACTAAGAGCGAAGCAATCCCAAGTTAAGAAATGTTCCAGCGAGGCTGTGGGTGAAGAGCAAGAATCGACCCCACTACTTTGGCCCTGACGGACGTGTTGAAGAAAGCAGAACTTAATCCCTGCCTCAGAGAAATGACCTGGGGTCTCACCGAAAGCCCTTGTAACCCCAGATTGATCCAGAGTTGAACCAAGAAGAGAGCTGAGGACCCAAGGGGAAGAGGCATTTTAGCTGTATCTTCTGAGCTGCCTCGGTCACATCAGGAAACGAGGTTTGCAAAGCAGATGGCACCTTACATTAGCACCGTTATTGCCAGACTCCACCGTGATAAGATCTCCAACATCTTCAAACATGTCCTTGACGTAGAGGAGTACAACAATGCAGCTGCCAGCGAAGATCTGAGATTTGTCATG